AAATTTCTCCTCTCTGAAAGTATGATGCACAAGGTGTTCATAAAATGCTGGTAAACTGTTAACATTTAAAAGAGCTTTGCATTATACAGAATAGAATAAAGCTGTAAACATATGGCACAATATTTCAGAAAGATTTTTAATAAATTAATTTATATATCTAGCTTTTAACGTAAACACCAGCTTTTTACATCATTCAATTTAATTATCCATCTCACTGCAAGTGTTCTCTACTTTTGATACTGAATGATTTTTGTAGATCACCTATGTCAAACTGCCCCTAAATTCATTTATCTCTCCAACATTAGCTTGTCTGTATATTCAAAGATTATAGCATAAACTTCATAAAAAGTGATGATAATAAGCATAGCAAAGCACTTTCCAGTTGCAAAGTGTTTTTGCATTCATTACTTTATTTGATTTTCACAACGTTCCCTTGAGCTAAGGAAAGTCAGTATCTTTTTCTTCATTTTATAATTAAGAAATACATTCAAATTAGTCATTTGCCAGTTAGTAAGTAGTATAATCTGATAACTTGATTATATACCCTTTGTTCTTCTCATTACAAATATCATCTTCCTTTGGGAAAATGTAGGGACTGATAGGGCTTCTAAATGGGATCCTGCACATTCACATATTTATCCATTCACTCACCAATGACCTCCCATTCTGAGCAAGGCATCTCCTGTAGGCTAAGTGTTTGGTGGCAAACAAAATGAACATGATCTATACTCTGTTGAAATGTATAGTCTAGTTGAGAGATATGCCTTCCAAAATCGCATTTGTATGTCAATAATTATAAGTTTTATGAAGCAAAAAAGCAGGATGCAATGAAAAAGAATAAGGAAAAAGGGACAAAAGGAATTTATTTGAATAGAGATTAGATAAATCCTGTTTGAGAAGATACATTTTGAGACTTAAGGGATGAGAAATAGCATGTGCCAAAGCTAGAATAAGATGAGCATTGCTCAAGATCTTTTCAAAAACTGAATAAAGGGACAGAGAGAACTGCTTTTTTTCTGAATCAAGATATTATTTAAAATAGCTGAGAGGCTATTTCATAATGTTTATTTTTTTTCAAGAAATATTTTCTGTGCACCTCACAAATAACACCCAGCATTAAGTGATCTTAAAGGTAACAGACACCACTGGCCTGTGTTGTGTGACATACTCAGTGTGCACTAGATACAAATTAGTTCAATGGATATCAAACAAATTTAAACTATTAAGTAAAATTTAATGTCAATGTGTCTCAAGCATGTGCATGTCTAGAGCTGTAAAATTATAGAATTTCATATGGCTGTTAGAGCACTAGATAAGTATGTGTGTAAACTACAAATTTCAACAAGCATGTAAAATCATGTGGTCATTTCTCCAACAGTTGCTAAAGGCACACCATTGGTAATATGGTTGAGGTTCTTGTGGAATATCTGTAACTCTCTCAGTTCTATAGTTAGAACCAGGCCTATAGCAGCCATTTTAAGCATGAGCTTTAAAATGAGAGAACACATTGAAGCTGCTTCAGGCAAAGGCTCTAATTTTATTTAGTTTTTATTTCCTCATTAGACTAATGGCAATGGAATTAAATAACTTTCTAAATGTGTGGTTATTGGAAGCAAATAAAGACAGAAGGAGGTCTGGCCTATCCTGCCACAAAGGACCCTCATGTTTCACTTCAATGTCATATTGGAAGTCAAATAACTATGCTTCATATCTCAAATTTGGCTAGAGATGCACTGATGACAATTAATTATCAGCTTATTCTTTCAAAATGCTTATATTTTAAAAGGTAATGGCATCATATAAAATGATCTTCTGAGTTAGTTCACAAAAGACTCAAGTTATGCCTAAAGACACAAGAGGGAATTGTAGTGGTCCAATCTTTCCCTAACAAGAATAGGACAATACTACTTTTCCCTTTATCTTAGAGAAGTACTGGTACAAATCACAGCCAAAGAAACAATTTGTTTCTTCATCTTCGTCTTTTCACTTCTGATGTAGAAACATTTGTTATAGCATGTCCTAGAGCAAAGAAAGGTAGAAAGAGTCATGAAACATTAAACCTGAGTAGATATGCTAATATATGTACATTTTTTCTTTGTTAAAAGATGAACAGTAATCCTCATTTTAACTATAGATACTAAAATTCAGAAAGCCAACAGTGTCAGTACAAGATGCCAAAAAAGCTTTGGACATAAATGATGAAGATTCCTTGGTGACTCACTGTTTTCTGTCTATGGTGTTGTGACAGACGATATGTTAAGAGGGCAGTAAAAATTGCGGAGGAGTCACACTCTTTTTTTTTTTTTTTTTTTTTTTTTGAGATGGAGTTTTGCTCTTGTTACCCAGGCTGGAGTGCAATGGCGCGATCTCGGCTTACCGCAACCTCCGCCTCCTGGGTTCAGGCAATTCTCCTGCCTCAGCCTCCTGAGTAGCTGGGATTACAGGCACGTGCCACCATGCCCAGCTAATTTTTTGTATCTTTAGTAGAGACGGGGTTTCACCATGTTGACCAGGATGGTCTCGATCTCTCGACCTCGTGATCCACCCGCCTCGGCCTCCCAAAGTGCTGGGATTACAAGCTTGAGCCACTGCACCCGGCCGGAGTCACACTCTTTTAAAAGATATTTCTTTGGCAACATTTTATTCTGATGATATTACATGTTTTCTTGATTGCTTTTTGTCCACTTTTGTTCGTCAATTTAAATAGAAGGCATTTTATATTAAAAGATAAGGAAATGGCTATAGGTCTCTTCATCATAATTTTCCATCCTATCTGTAGATGATGCATGCAAATTCAGTATAGTTTATTAATGCCATGGAAAAAGTATCAAAGATAAATTAACACTAAACAATTATCAGTCTTGTATAAGAAGTTACTACCCAGAATCACAGAGAAGACAAAAGAATTTGAGTCTCAAGTCATGGCTACACTGTTGTCAGGGCATGACCAACTTTCAGGGATATTTTTCTGATAAGTCAACAAACTCCGTAAGGGTAACTGTCCTAAAATGTCACAAAGTGAAGACCACAAAATTATCATCCCATATTTTCTCCTGTTTCTTAAGCCTTGAGTTATAAGATTATAAAATAACCCTGGACTCCCACCAATCCCAAAATCTACAACTACTCAACACTAGCAAAATACTTACCCTTGTCTTCTTCCTTTTGACTGTCACAACAGTCCTTCAAACTGGTTGTATTAGGGTTCTCCAGGAAACAGAACAAATAAGACCTGTGTGTCTACACATATCTAAATCTGTATCTCTATCTATCTGTGTATCTATCTACCTGTCTATCAGTTGATCTGTCTATTAAAAAAGAGAGATTTTAAAGAATTGTTTCATGCAATTGTGGGACTAGCAAGTCCAAAACTCACAGGGCTGGCCTGCAGGCTGGAGACCCAGGAAAGACATGAAACTACAGCTCAAGCCTGAAGTCAGTCTGAAGAAAGAATTCCCTCTACCTCAGAGGACTTCAGCTATTTTCTTTTTCTTTCTTTTTTATTTTTTTTATTTTACTTTAGGTTCTGGGGTACATGTGCATGTCATGCAGGGTTATTGTGTAGTTGCATACTATATTTGGCATTTCTCCCCATGTTATCCCTCCCCAACCTTCCCAACTCCTGCTGTCCCTCCCCTACCCCCCCACAACTGCCCCCAGTGTGTGATGCTCCTCTCCCTGAGTCCACATGTTCTCATTGTTCAACACCCGCCTATGAGTGAGAACATGCGGTGTTTGGTTTTCTGTTCTTGTGTCAGTTTGCTGAGAATGATGGTTTCCAGATTCATCCAAGTCCCTATAAAGGACACAAACTCATCATTTTTTATGGCTGTGTAGTATTCCACACTATATATGTGCCACATTTTCTTTGTCCAGTCTATCACTGATGAGCATTTGGGTTGGTTCCAGGTCTTTGCTATTATATTTTTCTTAAGGCCTTTAAACTGATTGGATGAGGCCCACCTACGTTATGTAATCTAATCTGCTTTACTCAATGTGTACTGATTTAAGCTCTCATAGAAACATCTAGAATATAATTGACCCTTGAAAAACAGGTTTGAACTGTGGGCCCACTTCTACATGAATTTTCTTCTGCTTCTGTCACCTCGAGACACAAAGCTCATATCCTCTTTTTTTATCCCCCTTCTCAGCCTGTTCAATATGAAGACAAGGATGAAGATTTTATAATGATCTATTTCTACTTAATGAATATTAAATATATTTTCTCTTCCTTATAATTTTCTTAGTAACATTTTCTTCAAATTTATTGTAAGAATGCAGTATATAATACATATATAACATACAAAATATGTGTTAATTGACTATTTATATTGTAGGTAAGGCTTCCAGTCAACCATAGGCTATTAGTTACATTCTGGGGGAGTAAAAAGTAATATATAGATTTTTGACTGGGCAGAGGCATGGTACCTCCATTATTCATGGATCAATTATAAGGTTTGACGAAGTATCTGGTGTCTTAGTCTGTTCTCATGCTGCTAATAAAGACATATTCAAGACTGGGAAATTTATAAAGGAAAGAAGTTTAATTGACTCATAGTTCAGTATGGCTGGGGAGGAATCAGGAAATCATGGTAAAAGAGGAAGCAAACACATTCTTCTTCACATGGCAGCAGCAAAGAGAAGTGCTGAGCAAAAGCAGGGAAAGCCCTTTATAAAACCATCAGGTCACATGAGAACTCACTGTCACAAGAAAAGCAGCATGGGGGTAACTGCCCCTATGAGTCAATCACTATCTCCTACTAGGTCCCTGCCAGGACACCTAGGGATGATGGGAGCTACAATTCAAGATGAAATTTGGGTGGGGACACAGCCAACCCATACCATTTGGGTACTGTAGGCCAGTCATGGTTTCACATAAAATTAATCACTACATTGACCTTTTTAATAAAGATGCTTGGGGGTCTTTACTGTGCTTTGCTAAAGCAGAGTATGAAAGGTTTTACATCCATTTGATTTTTTGGTCCTCTTTTTTTCTTTCATTGCAAACTTTTGAAGATACCAGAACTTCTATAAACATCAAAAACCAGAAAATAAACAGGGTAATTATTGGTTCAATTGATAATATTGATTTATGTGACTTGGCTGTCAAATGCAACAACTCTTGTTGATGGCATAACTATCTAAAATACAATTGAACAATGAAATGTTACTTTAAGTATAATCACATTTTGTCTTATAGTAGGTTTTATAGATACAGTTATAACAGTTATTTCTTCAAATTCACCATATTTCACTAATATCTGCAATATAGATTAGTGTTTGACATACAATATATCATTGAGAAAATAAGCCCTTAAACTTATAATTTTACTTTTATTAGTTTGCAGCCTTGAAACATCAAAGACATTAATAATCAAAATCTCCAGCATTTGGACAGGTAATCACTTGGTTACTTTCCTTAGTTGTTTGCTTCACTTTGAGTACAAAATGGCAAAAGTAATGAACTAATAATCATTAAGTACTCTTTGACGATGGTAGTGTGATGACATGTTGTTTGTTGAGAAAATCTTCCTCCTTCTCATCTGTACTGCTCTCAGAAAGTGACAGCAAAGACTGAATTTTGGTATCTCTTCCAGAAGAGCTGAAAATACATAACAAGATCAATACACAATATACAGAACCAGGTTTCAACTCTTCATCTATCTTCCGATCAATACTACATACGTTGGAGTTGCTGGAGGCAGGCAGATGTGAGGAGGCTGTATCAGACTGGGGCCATAATTTTCAGTGTGCCCAATATACCCAGCCTCCTTTTAATGAGAAATTCTCATCATTCTCCCTCTCCCAAGAAATAAAGCCACAGTGGAACCAAGGAGAGACTTTATGGTCTCTGATTGTTTCTTTCATTGATGATTCAGAGGCACTTTAGAAACTTGCAGAGCCTCAGGGTCATCATTAAGAACATTCATCATCACACTGGCTGTTTAATAGAATCCCAGTGAATAGACTGCCAGATGAATCACCTCTTCTGTGTACTGTAAATTAGGACTATGTAGATAGTCAAGATATGCCAAAGTAAAAATTAATGACAGCATTTATTTGTTATTTTATTTTGATGCATTTTATTGGTGGCAGTAGGGGCACTGATGGAAGCTCTAATACCTGAGTGTCTAAGGTTTGGGAACAGAGGTAGGATGGGGAACAGATAAAAGCCTACATAATTCAGATTTTTTTTTTGTCTTAAATAATCTAGAGTCTCAGTCTAATTATTCTGCTAAATAATATAAAATACTTTGCTCTGTGATGGATATAACTGTTCATTGGATTATTATTATTATTATTTTGAGACAGAGTCTCACTCTGTAATCCAGGCTGGAGTGCAGTGGCGTGATCTCGGCTCGCTGCAACCTCTGCCTCCTGCATTTAAGCGATTCTCCGGCTTCGCCTCCTGAGTAGCTGGGATTACAGGCAACCTGCCACCACGCCTGGCTAATTTTTTGTATTTTTAGTAGAGACAGCTTTTTGCCATGTTGCCCAGGCTGGTTTCGAACTACTCAGCTAAGGCAATCAGCCCGCATTGGCCTCCCAAAGTGCTGGCCTTACAGGCATGAACCACCTCACCTGGCCTTTTTGGATTATTTTTTATGCTTAACACAGGCTAAATGAGCAGCTCATAAACTATGGTCTGTGGAACAATAAAAATCTCATTGTGATTAAAATTTTCAATGGTCCAAGAAAAGAAGAGCTAGTGACTGTGTCTAGCTTATAGATCTATAATTTTTAAAAAATGTACTTTATTCTGTTTGTAAGGTCCCCTTATATTTTTAGTATTGAATGTCATTTGTCTTATAAATGATGAGAATATTTGTAGGTTTAGTTTGTTTTAATGATTTTTCTAAGGGAAAAAATATCAATCTTATATAGATCCTTTAAAAAAAAAGTTAAGTGATAATAGAAATTCAAAAATCTAGGCTGAGTGTAGTGGCCTGAGTAGTCCCAGCTACTTGAGTGGCTGAAGCAGGAGGATAACTTGAGCCCAGGAGTCTGAGATCTGCCTAAGCAACATGTGGAGACCCTGTCTTAAATTTTTTTTAAAGAAGAGAAAGAAATGCAAAAACCAAGAACAATAGCTCAATGCTTTACTCCTCCAGAAAGAATAAGAAACTCTTGATTCCCTTTTTATTGCAATATTAGATTTCAATTAAATTTCAATCAAAGAAATTTATAATACCAATAACTTATTTTATGCTTTTTTTAGTCTTTCTAGAAGGAATCCTACTCCTTCAAGGAACTGCAGTGTGTCAATAATAAACTGACACAATAGACTGCTTTTTTTGAGACTTTACTAGTATGACCTACATTCTTTATGAACTGATTTAAACATCCCCAAATATATTTTATGTGAGAAAAGAATAATGTGATACAAATTAAAATATGTTATTGTTAATTATCTAGACTTGATTTCAAGAAAGGAACGATTTCAGCCTAAAAACCTTATTCACATTGGGTAGGATTCTATTAATACAAAGCATTGAAATTTATTAGGTTAATTAATTTAAGTAAGGCAATTGTTTTTCAATATAATAAAAATGCTGAAGGATTATTACATTCCAACTATCTTTTCATTTTTATAATACATTTTATGCAGTAGGGAATGATCTTACCTTAAAGTAACAACTTCATAAGCCTTTTACTAAATCTTGATAATAGATCAGCAAAGGACCCAAACATTTTATAAAGAATCGTCATATAAAGTACACATATGAGGACAATCTTCCTATATTTAATAAAGATAACTAGTTGGAGCTTGTCAAAATTTTTACTGCATACTATATTAATATATAAACCACAGGCTTAACTTACTTCAATTCTTCAACTCCACAGGGACCCTTCACATGTGAGGTCTTAAGGAAATCTGTGGAAGTCTGACTTATATTCAGTGATTGGCTGCTGAAGGCTGGTAACTCTTCTGAAGGTAAGCTGTGAAGCTTTTCTGAAGTATCTGAAATATTTTATTTCATGTGTTGTGAAAACGTAAATTCAAGAAACAAATATACAGCATATGGTGCTGAATGTTTACCCAGAGTAAACTATGGGCAGTACAAAAGGGTCAGCACAGATTTTTAATTATTTCTCAATTTTCTAATGTTTGTGGGGTAAGTTTGATTTGAGATTCCAAATTGGTGCATGAGTACCAACTCCTTTTTATCATATTGATTGTTAAATATACATTATAATATACTTATATTAAATATACATTATATTTACATGTCAAATGTCCTGAGACCTCATAAAATTATGAAAAAAAAAATCAAGTGACCCCCTTTAAAGCTAGAATAATTTCCAGCTCCTGAACCTGTTGGATACTTTATTATCTTTTTTCTTATAAGAAATAAAAGCTTTACTCCCACACAGTCTAAGGGAAAGGTTAGCTTTGGCAAAGGTGCTCTTTCTTTTTTGACTTCCTTCCTTTGTTTGAGTAGATAATAACTGTTCATATTAGATCGAGACCATCCTGGTCAACATGGTGAAACCCCGTCTCTACTAAAAATACAAAAAAATAGCTGGGCATGGTGGCACGTGCCTGTAATCCCAGCTACTCAGGAGGCTGAGGCAGGAGGATTGCCTGAACCCAGGAGGCGGAGGTTGCGGTGAGCCAAGATCGCGCCATTGCACTCCAGCCTGGGTAACAAGAGCAAAACTCCGTCTCAAAAAAAATTAAAAAATAAAAAAATAAAGGAGAGAAGCCTTAAATTTTTCTTTTCATGAAGCTGGCTTATGATTTAGCCTAGCTAAGGATAAATAGTGCAAGTTAAATGAAATCTTTAGGCAAATATATCTTCATATAAACTACCAAAAATTTAAGTATGTAATTAAATATCATCATATGTTAGAAAGGCTATAATGCCTTCTTTTTTCATTCATGAAGTTGTAATGAGCCATCTAACTTATACATACACTATGATGACTTTTAAAACCGTCAAAATTAGCAGTTGCTATTCTTCCCTTTACTTTTATGAAAGGTCCAAATAAACATCCTCCCGGTCAGAAGAACCAAACATCAACATACACATATTCTACAGTGGACTTTTACTTTCCTTTGGTGGTTAGCATCAGCCTGATACATTTCAGCAAATAGAGATTTTCCTACTGAGAGTAAATCAGATTATTTTCACTGAAAGATATAACTCAATAAATTTACACATGGAAGTGTCCCTAAAATAGCCCAGTGACTTTGAAATCATGATGCATGGGTACATTCAGTAAGCTAAGGATTTGGTTTCTGCTCCCACCATATCCTCAGCAATCAGCACATTACCTAATCTAGTTTAAATATAGGGGCTTTAACAAGATTAATTTTGAAAAAGACAAAAGATTTTTGAGTTAAAATTTTTTAAACCTTCGAATTACTTCCATCTTCACTTAGAGATCAGGGAATTAGGGGCCCTTGGAGAATAATAACTTGTTGTAAGTCATATGGCCATGTAGTGGAAGAGCTGGAACTAAAACTGGTATCTGTTAGCTTACCAATGTTGTAAATCACTCTGTTCCAGAATCTAATTCTTTAGCTTTAAGCTATTATCTTCTCTCCTATTTCTCCATAAGGTAAAAGATGACCCAAGGTGCCTTTACACCCCCTAATGAAATGGAATACTCCCACAAGAAAGCAGTAAATTCAGGATTTTCTATTGGTAGAATTGTAGTACTAAAACCCAACAGTAATGCTTTGATCTAAAAAATACCACCAGGCGAGGTCCAAACTCTATTATTCAGTTGAGCTAATTGAATGAGCATAAAGTTAATTCAAATTGTGCAAATAGAATGAGACTATTTTTATAAAACTATTTATTCTCAAAATTATATTTCAGAATACCTGTAAAGTTAACAGGAACAAAGGTATTATCACTTGATATGAGATAAAAAAAAATCAAGGCAGATAAAAATAAAACTGCTTATACCAATCTTATTGCAGGTTAGTGTTAAACTCAAAAGGTGAATTGTACAAAAATCTGCTCCTGATTTTTCTAATACAGGAACAGGTAAGACAGGATTAACATTTATATTAGAAAATTTACAACTGGCAAGTCAGTTATGTGTTGAGAAATGAATAATAATTAAACCTTTTCTATCCCTGGAGTAAGAGTATATTCTCTGATCATTGAGGAATCTCTTAAAAACAATAATAAACAATTAGACTAAAAAGAAAAATAATAATAAACTATAGAGCTCTGAAGTACATTTCTAAAACTGAAGTCATTTAAAATGCATACATAAAACTATATTCCATACAGAAATAAGCACTTGTTTAAATAAATGAAAGGAAACCCAAAAGAAAGAAATATAAAAACTTCAAAGAATGAAAACCAATCGAAGAGGTTATTTCCCAATAAGGAACAACAACAAGAACTCCGAAAGAACTATTTAGAATAGCTACATATCTACATCCTAATATGAAACACAGTGTGATATCTGAAATACTCACTATGTAACCTGTGAGCCCCATTGCTAACACTTCAGCTTCCTTGTTTTTTATTCTTCCATCTCCTCTCCCTTCTGTGCTATGTCTTGTTTATTTCTCCTTTTCCTATTCTCTCCTTGTTGTATCCTTTTACCTTCACTCTGCCCACACCCTCCCCTTCTTAAGCAGTGATATGGTTTGGATTTGTGTCCCCACCCAAATCTCATGTCAAATTGTAATCCCCAATGTTGGAGGAGGAGTCTGATGAAAAGTGACATGATCATGGGAGCAGATTTCTCCCTTGCTGTTCTCGTGATAGAGAGTTCTCATGATATCTGGTTGCTTAAAAGTGTGTAGCACCTCCCACCCACCACTTCCTCCTCCTCTGGTCATCCGTAGTGTGCCTGCTTCCCCTTCTGCCATAATTATGTTTCCTGACGCCTCCCCAGCCATGCTTCCTGTACAGACTGCAGAACTGAGCCAAATTAAACCTCTTTTCTTTATACATTACCCAATCTCAGGTATATCTTATAACAGTAGGAAAACTAATATATGTGGTCACAAAATTGATTTGAAGTAAAGTTTTCAAATTATGTATATGGCATTGTTATGCAGTGGCTAGACAAAGGGGTAGCTTTGCCTGGGGTTGTGCCTTGCCTCTGCTATATACCCAGGGAAGACCATGGGCAGTTACCACATTGCCCAGAGCCTCAGTTATTGAATATGAAAAAAGGAAATTAAGACTACCACCTGCCCCATCTACTTCACCAAATAGCTGTGAAGATCAAATGGAGCAACATCACATATAAAAGCAACCAGTAATTATTATTACTCATTAAATGGTTTCTTTTATTAACTTTTAAATATGTTTTCACTTATATGTGTACCCAATTTGTTTTCTGCAATTCAAAGACATGCTAAAGCTAAAGATTGTCATTCTATCTTTCTGCAATTTGACTGCCTTTTCAAGGGTTATCTAGTTAATTTTTGAAATTTAAATTCTGATTAGATTAGCATCTTTACAGTTTAATACATTACTTAATGAGCAACCTATGAACTAAGGCTCCAGTTACTCAGAAAGTACTGCCTCGCTGTTTTATTTTACTGACAGTATGGCCTAACCATTTTCATTATTTCTCAGATTAAAAGAAAATGCTTACATCTCTTTAATTATTTGGCTCAGCTAATTACCTGTGAAATCATACAAACAAAAGATTGTTGTGGGAACCTAAGGTCTACAAAGATTCTTAAACTACAAATCAGATTGAGTTTGAAACAAACAAATCATTTTTAACTACTGAAGAAGTAAATGCTTTAAAGTGCATTATTACTAACACTTTTTCGTAATATGTATGTCCCAAATTTCTTCAGGCTATAGCAACATCCAAAAACTGACAAAGTGGCTTTATAAGTAACTTATACCAATATATTAAGCTCATTAAAGAAGTGGTTATAATGTTATTTATAAAGCTATTTGTGGAAGGAATAATAAATGGCATGAACTGTAACTAACTATAATCCTCAGAGCAGTACAGAAGATAACATAGTTTTATAATGGAAACAGTTTTTAGGATTTATTAAAAATGGGGCTTATTGAGAACACCTTACCTTACTGTATATAGGAAGTGACACAAAAATGGGGCAGGGAAGTGCTGGGTAGAAAAAGGCAGGTCCCTGTCTAGGGCTCCACACCACAGACCTAGGTGAGGACAGGCACTCCTGCTTTCACACACAAATGCTGCAATTTCCAAGACCTCCCTGGCCCACCACTCCCCCATTCTGGGCCTATAAAAACCTGAGACACTATTGGGAAGACACACAGGTGGCCGGATGTCAAGAGGAAACATCAGCAGAAGACACGAGTGGCTGGATGGCAAGAGTATGTCACAGAACCATGCTGGCAGAAGAGCACACTGACAGACATGGGCACCCCAGCAGGCCAACAACCAGTGGGACGAGACAGTTTGGCTGGGACAGTTGGAAGTAAGCTGGGGACGCCAAGTGGCCCAACTCTCAAAAATTGATTTGAAGTAAAGGCTTCAAATTATGTATGTGACATTGTTATACTACAATAGGAAAACCATCTTCCTTCTGGCTCCTCTGTCAGCAGAGAGGTACTTCCACTCAACACAACTTTGCACTCATTCTCCAAGACCATGTGTTATCCAATTCTTCTGGTACACCAAAGCAAGAACCTGCAGTACAGAAAGACCTCTGTCCTTGTTGCATTTTCCATTTTCATTCTGGCTTACTGCGCCCCATTCTGGGCCTACAAAAACCCGAGGCCCTAGTGGGCAGACACACAGGCAGCCAGATATCGAGAGGAGCGCATTGGCAGAAAAAGACACAAGCGGCTGGATGGCGAGAGGACGTTGAGGGAAGCACACACCGACGGACAGGCAAGAGCACACCAGCAGGCCACTGACCAGCAGAATGGGGTAGAATTTAGCCAGAGCGCAGTTGGAGGAGAGCTGGGGCTGCTGGACAGCCCAACTCCAGAGGAATACTATTGCTTCTGCCTCCCCCTAGGGTGGAGAGCTACC